CATATGTACCGTTACATATATACTCCCATGATACAGGTATTACCTCTTCAACTTTAGGTAAGTGCAGGCGATGTAGTGAAGTTGGTCTACGAAGCAGTATCAAAGGCTACCACCCTCGGGAGCACAAGCGCTACATATCAGCTTGCCGCTTCTCGTCTTGCTGATACCCATGTTTCTGTTGGCATCGTTATGCAACTATAAACAACTGCTTATATATATGCGTCTGTTCAACATACATGTCCGGGCGTATAACATTTGTATTTATATTTGCGTCATTCGGTAACGTTTCGCTCAACAACAAAAAAGAAAATTCACCACAGTCACCTTCCCTCCGCATGCTTTGCATGGTACCATGGTACACGGGATCTACTGAATTCTTTAGGCACGACGCACCTGAAAAATTTCTTGTGAAGATGTAGCCAGTGGCATCATATATGCCGCGTTTACATGCATATAGAGCCAATCATTACGGAAGGTGGATCGACGGCCTAGCTTAAATGGAATAGTTGCGCACTTATCGTGGGCTTATTAGACATTCACTGAGGTTTGAAGTACAGATGTCTATTTTATTAAAACGAAGTTCACGTTACGGCGCGCTCATGTCACGAGTGGCGTACTTTGATGTATTGTCGCGGGGAGGAACAACGTGGGATCATAGCCTGCCGAATTATATATGAGTACATATGTAACGTGACGTCAAGTGGCATGACGTTGCGACGACATAAGCGGGCATACGCAACGGGCGCATAATTTTCATGAAACAGTAGCTAGTCGAAAGCGAAGCGAGATGGCGTATACTTGGCATCGGGGCTCTTCTTGTTAATACTAAAAAAAATAGTAGGGCAGACTGGCTTTGATCACATTTTCGATACGATATTCACGAGTTACTCGCGGGTGCATCTTACTATTTGTTTATATGGTAAACACCATTGATGTACAGTGATGTATAACTTGAGAACAACGCAGCATGATATATAAATGACAGTCCAGATGTTAATACCGGTGACGTCATGGTCACTGAATCGCAAACTAAACTACCTATTGCGCAGCTACGGCTGTCATTTGCCGTGATCGCACAAGTACGTTATGAGGAACACGCATTCGAGGGACTATAGTTACACTGGGAATGACAGAGTGAAGAGGAAACAACGCACTCTGTCCCCAACAGTGTAGGCTATAACTCTTACGATACGGTACCGACTAACCCACCAAACCATCCTCATTAGCCATTACGTTTCACCAAAGAACCCTTTGAATTATGACATATCGGCGCGAACGATCAATAACGTTTTAAAGATTAAACAACTCCTTGTATGGCACTGTATGAATGATTAACAGTAAACTGATATTTATGTGCATGACTAGCCATTATGCAGAGCTTATGGGGAAATCTATCTATCTATCTATCTATCTATCTATCTATCTATCTATCTATCTATCTATCTATCTATCTATCTATCTATCTATCTATCTATCTATCTATCTATCTATCTATCTATCTATCTATATATCTATCTATATATCTATCTATATATCTATCTATATATCTATATATTTAAAGATTTAACAACTCCTTGTATGGCACTGTATGAATGATTAACAGTAAACTAATATTTATGTGCATGACTAGCCATTATGCAGAGCTTATGGGGAAATACGTGCCTTGTTCATCTGTTGTGACACATCTGCACAGAATTGAGGATATCGCCTGCACGTGTTTCTGGTACACAGATGTTAGTAGGCATATATGTAAGCCGTTTGCAAGTGAAATATCAACGTGGTAGGGTGTCCTCTGGAGCAATATGCAGCACAATAATGTTCAATGACCGCTAGTTAACTCTCTCTAGGAAGCCTGCACGAATGCGCACACTGAGTTTCAGGCTATTTGAAGAAACGCGTGGTACGTGATGTTCCTTCGAAGTTCACGTGCACAATCGCTTACGCCGTCACCGAAGGGGATAGAAGCTGAGAGTATAGAAAACGTCTCATGCCCGGCTGGAATCTCTTTAAAGCTAATCTACAAATCGCTTTAAAAGCGTCGCAGAAATTTTCCACTCGTCTAAAGGGATTCTTGGATACCCAAAGTATCCTGTCTTTCAGAAACCGTTTTCTAAACGTCTTTAAGATGTCATGTCGGATCAGTTTATTTCAATCTGCTGTTATTTTTATTGTGCAATCAGTTAGTGCACTTCTACAGGCAGTAATCTCGGTATTAAGTCACATTATCCTCGAATTACTAAGGGCCAGAATTAGGCATTAAAAAGGGGCCTTTTTGGGCGCTCACGATGACCGTTGACGCCAGTCGGTACCGTGGCTTCCTCTCGGACCATAAAACACATGTTACATATACCGTACATAGAGCGACCATAGCACTCATACGGTTTAAAAATAGACCTTACTCTGTACGCCCATCCGACCGTTCGTCCGTGCGTGACTCCGTCCACTCGTCCGTCGGCACATCCGTCCGTTCATGCATCTGGCTGTCCGTCCATGTGTGCTTCCGTCCGCCCGTAACTTCAACGCACCCATTCACATTATGGGCATTAGAACCTAGCTTCAGCATTCACTTCGTGTATCTGCAGTAATATTCTATTACCTAAGTAGGCAGGAAGAAAGAGGCAGGCCAAACAATGTTTGAGGACTCCAGAGGTTTTTAAATATAGGCGCAATAAGTTTTGACATAGTGCCGATTCTAAAGGAAGACGTGCGCAACCTCTGTCTACAACAAGAAAATATATATATATATTGGTTAGCGTGGTACACAGGCACCAAGAGTTGAACATTGTGTAGGAATCGCCCTTCGTCCCGCACGGTTGGCAGAGCATGGCCTGTCCCTTTATTTTTATAGTTTGTCCGGTGTGTACACTGTTGAATCAACATACCCGTGCGTGTCCTCTTTTTCGGCTTGACTGAGTAGGGCTGCGTATATAGGAACAGTTAGCCAGGCAGCTGAAAAATACAGGAGGGAGGGATGGGCCGCTATACCTACCGCGTCAATTCGCGCGAAGCAAATTTTTCCTCAGGTGGTGAACATTTTTCTTTAATCTTTATGCAATGATTACCTCGTTTAGCCCCGAAGGCACTGCAGCAGGTGAGTTACAACGTCAAGAAAAACATCTTCGTTGATACGGCACACTTGTTCGCTTGATAAGCGATTACATTTACGGAAATCCATTTGATCGATAATATAATAAATATTATATATAATAAAAGGGGCACTTATCCTTCATTTTGCAGCTTTTGGGTTAACGCGCTTTTAACCATACAATGACGGGCTGGACATACACACAGAGCGCAGAATAAGAACTATTTATCTTCAGACGTTTTCTTCGCAATTGTACACAGCGGATAGGCATCGCAGAAAACCTGAGCCATGAAAAAAAGGAAATATTCACATGGGCATGCGTATTAAACAGCTAAGTTGATTTTGTAAAATGAGTTTCTCTTGAAGAATCATTAATAGATTGTGTGGCGATACATTAGTCGGTGTGTGCCTGTGTATTCATATAAGATTCAGTCATGATTCGTTCTAATTTATCACAAACCAGTGACATGATTGTAGCCTTTTCAAGAAGTTTTGGGTGCACGTTAAAGAACCCCAGGTGGTCAAAATTTCCGGAGCCCTTCACTACGGCGTCTCTCATAATCATATGGTGGTTTCGGGACGTTAAACCCCACAAATCTAATCTTTCAAGAAGTGGCGTACATTTACATTTCGTTACATGTGATGCTGGATTGCCTGGATGCGTTAATCATTGACAATCATTTCGGTGATCTCTTAATCTTGTGTTTAAACAACTTTCCATCTGTCAAATGCTATCTCCTACCTCATGGAGGAAAATGTCTGAAAATAAAATGGTTCTTAGTCTGCGCCCTGTCTTTGTGTATTTCCAGCCCGTCACTGTATGGTTGAAAGCGCGTTCACCAAAGATTCAACACCACCTATGGTCCAAGTAACTTCTCTTATTTTGCAGCTCTTCCATGATTTGAATAGATTGATTGATATGTGAAGTTTAACGTCCCAAAAACCACCACATGATTATGAGAGACGCCGTAGTGGAGGGCTCCGGAAATTTCGACCACCTGGGGTTCTTTAACGTGCACCCAAATCTGAGCGCACGGGCCTACAACATTTCCTTCTCCATCGGAAATGCAGCCGCCGCAGCCGGGATTTGAACCAGCAATCTGTGGGTCAGCAGCCGCGTACCTTAGCCACTAGACCACCACGGTGGGGCTGATTTGAATAGGGGCTGGTGATGTTATGGCCTACCGTATATTTACGCGCATACTACCGTACTGGTATGCATTGGCTGCCAGTACAGTTCGATATGTTGGCTGAAAAACAATGGTTTCCTGTCGATTCTTTTTGCTATACTACTGGCAAGAGTCGGCCTAATCTTCCGGGTTTCTGCTGAATTACAGCTCCTATTGAATAATAATATTTAAAAAGGGACACCAAAGCGCAAAAAAACAACAACAAATCGGCTTGAATTGATGAATTATTCTAGGGGAACGTGTTAATTTCACAATATTAAGCTTATTAACCATAGAAAAAACGAAGGTGAAGCTTCCATAGTTGAATTTCATGCCGAAATGACTGCTCACGAACGTCACAGTGACGTAAAGTTGACATTAGTAGTGGGCATAAACAATGGGCTCATAAGGTACCAGAAGCAGCCGATGGTTAACTCCCATCGACATTTGGGTGTAACGGCGTTCGACGCGTTTCAATGGGATACTTATCAGAAAGTCGTGTGCGGATCTCGTGTAGGTGATAAGGGCTGAAGGAAAGGATCGATGTGCAGTAGTTAATTGTTTAGGAATAGCTCAGATTATTCACTGGACTGCGTTCCCACTCAGCAGGATGTCATGATCGGCAAGTGCTAAACGAAATCGCACATTATATACGGCCACGGTTGTCACTTGTCGTGATCTAGCAAGTAAGGCTATGGAATGCAGATATCCCGTGAGAATACGCCTAGACAAAGACCACTTCCCACTTCAGCGCGATAAATGATATCAGTTTATTTCCAACATAACAATGTGTGATACTACGGAGTAATGCACGATAAACGGAGTGCTCAACTTCACCATGCGCACGACTAGTCCGTATGCAAAGTCCACTTTTCAATGCGTGCTTTTTGCTTGTCCATTGCGACACATCAGCACAGAACATGTACCAGAAACACACTGACAAGAGTTGATGAGCAACGCATGCCAATACGTATGGACAGAAGCCGTTTGTATTTAGAGTCCTTACGAAAAAGGACGGACGGAGCAACTAGGAGAGCTGTCGTTGTCCAGAAAAGACGTACGCAACGGCCAGCGTGAAAAAGAAAAAGAACATGTAGCGGAATGCCGAAGGGCCTTTCTTCTTCTTGCTGAATGACGTACATCGGTCATTGAGCGGGTACATGATCCTGTGGCGCGAATCGAGGATGGCCTGCCGTGCTCCGGACCACGAATGGGGGCCTTCGAGTCTGAACTGGTAGGGCACGCAGGGTCCAAGAAGGGCGCGGAAGAGTTCGTTATCCGTGAAGAAGTACTTCAGGATGTTGGGTCTGGCGCCGATCTGGCTGGCGAGCTCGTCCATATAGTTTATCCAGTCCACCTGGATCGTGTGGCGCGGCGACTGCGACGTAGCGATGCCGCATGGACTCCGACTTCTTGCGTATGTTTTCGTACATGGCCTTCTCCGAGGGCAGCGAACGTTTGTTGGCCAGCAGCTCGGCCAGCCAGCGGCTCTGCACGACAGAAATTGAGATCGGTAATCCATCAGGGAAAACGAAAGATTTCGTTAAAGAATGAATAGATGTCAAATTCTTGTATGCACGAGCCACAAAGCATTCCTCTCAGAGCTTCGTGGCACCACATTGGTTGTACGTGCTGAAAAGACTGCGGGCTATGAACAAAAGCAACGTGACACTTTAGGGTGACGCTTAGTTTCGCCTTTTTATTTTAGTTTCAACACTGCGTAGCAATTAGCCACCGGTTTTCTAAACTGTCATACCACTGCCATGGCTTTGTAGTTACATAATGACATGAACCGACTCACCTGCAACTCGGCGATGGGGAATATGGCACCGACCGGCTGGATAAGGCCGATTAACGCCAAAGTTGGATGCCGTAAGATGGGGTGGGAAAACGTACTTGTACAGCTGCACCTGGTTGTCCACTACCGACACCACATCCTTTGGCAAGAAAGGGAACTTGATCTGGTAACCCGTGGCCAAGATGACGTCATCCAGCACAGTCGCCTGTAACATCACGTATACTTCCTTTTTAACGGTTTTCACGCTAAACGAGGCCTGTCTCCTGCCGTTGCTATCTGTATCTGAACATTCTCGAAACCATGTTTTGAAAGCTGCTTGGCTGCATCTCAAAAGCAGTAAATAATGCCCGAATCGCGCGGTTGTGTTTCGTTCTGTACGCTCTAGACAATGTTGCATACGACGGCGCCAGGCGCCGTCAAGAATGGTTAGTTTCGAGATCGGTGCATTGTGAAGACACCATCACAGCTTGCGGCAAACAGTCAGAGCACCATCCGTGCGTTAAAAAATCTCTTACTAGTTCGAAAATTCCGCCAGGGTTCTCAAGACGTTCAATGGAAGCCCATTGTTTTATATTACATGTTTAAAATGGATATTCCGAGTGGTCTTTGAGGCAGAGCTTCTGAAATGTCTATTTTATTGTGTTACGTAAATTACGTAAATCGTTGCTTTTTCTATGCTATTTAATTTTGCTAAAGCTATCTTCTCAGACGTAAACTTTCGGTGACAGCGTCACCTTGCGTGGATCATAATATGGCGTGTTTAATGACTGAAGCGATTTCCCGCCCACCTTTCCAAAACCTGCTATAGGTAAATCACCTACCATACAGGTTGGCGTCTCTGGTGTTCGGTAAAGAACTTTCTGGAAAGCTGCTAGTCAACAGCGTGAAAACGGGGTGGTGGAACAGACAACACAAGCGCTGACGAATAAGTGTGCGCACGTTTATTAGGTTGGTTATTATTGTGACAGCGTCACAGTCCATGTTTTTTTGTTTATTGTTAGCTCTTATTCTTGGTACGTACTTTACACCGCAATAAACTTGCGCACAGTTGTTCATCAGCGGTTGCGTTGTCCGACACCCAGCAACATGTACCAACTGGCCCTTCAAGACACCCTTCGTGGCAAACTTCAAGCAAGCTTCCGATATAACTGTCAGTGAAATGTGTTTTTTAAAGCAGGTACGATGAATCTTTTATTATTCATGTACGTAGTAGTTACACAAGCAGCCAAAAAGCTCTTACGGTCACAAGAAAAACCACTAGCACGACTCTCCAGGCACAGTTGAATGACAGGGATGCCGCAGTTCTGGGGCGGAGGATGTATTTATACTTAGGTTGCAATCGCCTATAGTATATTTACGTTTCTGAGACATATTTTCTGCTCTTGCACCTTCTACTAAAGACACAGTTGTATGGGTTTCTTTTGGTGACGCTTCGGCCACACTTACGCCATACTCAACAACTTATAACCCCGACGCAGATTGAATGACAATGGGATGCATATTTTCAGGGAGAAGTTGCGATAGCTGGCTCTTTTCAATGATCGGCTGCCACGAGCCATACAGCCTTCACTGCGATGCACAAAATCGGTGTTACACGCTGAAGCCGTTCACTGGAAGGACACCTTTTCCATGTCCACACTTGGAAGAACCTTACGACCAGCAAAACCGTTCCGTAAGCTATCGCCAGCGGCGTAGCCAGAGGCGGCACACCAGGCCCATGCCCCCCCTCCCCTCTCGAATTTTTGTCGTGACGTCTTAAATACCACATAAATCGAATATTCTTCATCGAGTGCTGCCGAGCAGGTGGCCATCGCCATTGCTCTCCTCGACGGCAGGCGCGTGACTCCCGGGCAGCCGTCCGTGCCTTCACCGTTGGTGCAATTGCCAAGGAAGCACGCGGTATTCTCGGTGAAAAAGACATCTATAACCACATCTTAACATGGTTATCTGTTTACATGGGCCATTTCGAACGAGGCCCCACCAACCTCAACTGACCTGGTTCACTCCAAGGCGCGAGGTATGACGTTCCGTGTCCGCGGTGGTTCTTCCCAGCCCACGACGTTGGACAATATAATCAGCCCACGACACACAATGAGATTGCGGAGCACTTCTACCTAAGCAGGAAGGTCAATCCCTACCTGACAGAAAACTACGCAGATCCCAGGCAATAATAACGCTTAGACTCGCGAACGCATTAATATCCAAATCTGGCCATCTTTCATAAGCTTTACCCCGATGCTCACAGTACCAGCTCATGCCCCCGTTGTGGGGAAGTATAGCTAACTTAGAGTGTATGCTCTGGCGATGCCTCGTTATTGGGCAGTGATCAAGCCAACCTGCCAAGTGGTACTCCACCATCAGAAGCACCAACAAGGGGGGTCAGCTTTGCACCGTGCAGAGAGCCCACGATGCGGCGGTCGGGCTTACCCTTCCCGTCCCAACGTGGGAGAACCACGCTTGTGGCGTTTCTCAGGACAAATAAAGTTCCTTCATCTATCCGCTCCTGACGTACCAAGCACTAAGTGCCAAGTGATCCCATTTTCCGACTCGGCCCCCAGTTCAAATAAACAAGTCCCCCCCCCCCCCCGGAAAAACATTTCTGCCTATACGCCGCTGGCTACCGCGTCAGCAAGGTTTGTCATTACGTCAGCAAGATTTTGAACATGTTGGGTGCACTTATTAACAGCTTCGAAATGTTACCAGAGATATGAAAGCTTTGAGGGCCATACATTTTTCCGGTCTTCACGACTGATTTTACCTTGTCGTCTCCTTCAAAGAGCACACCATCTTCGGTGAACTCAACGATGTTCTTTTTGACTTGAACCTTGCCGCTGAGTATGAGGTTGGGAAGCGTTTCTCAGGTCAAATAAAGTTCCTTTATCTATCCGTTCCTGACGTCCCAAGCACAAAGTGCCAAGTGATCCCATTTTCCGATTCGGCCCCCAGTTAAGATGAACAACCCCCCGCCGCCCAGAAAAAATTTCTGCCTACGCCCTGGCTACCGCGTCAGCAAGGTTTGTCATTACGTCAGCAACATTTTGAACATATTTGGTGCACTTATTAACAGCTTAGAAATGTTACCAGAGATACGAAAGCTTTGAAGGCTATACATTTTTCCGGTCTTCACGACTGTTCTTACCTTGTCGTCTCCTTCAAAGAGCACACCATCTTCGGTGAACTCAACAATGTTCTTTTTGACTTGAACCTTGCCACTGAGTATGAGGTTGGGAAGCGCGTCATTGACGGTAGGATGCTGAGCGTTGTAGCGGTGTTTGGGCTTGAGTCCATACGCCTCATGGTTGAAGAAGCTGTTGAGGATGTTCTCGACGTAGTCATTGGCCACAGACTCAGGCACAAGGCTCTGGATGTAGTTTTCAGCCGCGTGGCTAAGAATATGTCGATGGGCATACCATTGGGGCCAACGCGCTTGGCCACCCATGCACCTCGCCTAGTGGACAGGTACGTCTGCGAGATTTAACATGTGTGAAGGTAAATAACTGAAAGAAAAAAAAGGCAGAATTCAGCAGATCCTACATACCATGGAAATTGGTGTTATGCAAAGCATGCGACGAGGTGACATAAGCTTTTTTCAGAGGAACGTTACGCAATGACGACAAGAATATGTGTAAATGTTGTACGCACAAAACAGGCCCATATATATTATATAACCAGTTTCTCACAGTTGCGTAACAATGCCAACATTAAAATGGGTATCACCTATATCAGAAGTGGTAAGCTGTATGTAACGCTAGTGCTTGTGAGGATATGATAGCCCTGGATAGTGATATATAGACCAGCTTCAGTGAATGGCGCTTAACTACAATTGACGTTAACTCGAAGTGACGCATCGGGCCCTACAACGCGAAGTCTCGGCAAGTCTCGCTGCTTGCGTGATCTCACCGCAAAAGGTCACGTGTTGGGCCGACACGGCTGGCTTCAAAACGGTTGGGCTTGCCACGGCTGGCTGCGTGACATAATGCTCCCTCCCTTTTTTTTCTCTATGTTAACAGGACAGGGTGGGCAAGCACAGCCATGGCGTTCGTGGTGTTTTGTCTTCTCTATTGTGTCCGTGTGTTTGCACACCCTGCCTCTTTACCCCGTAAGTCCCTTTCATCATGCTTACCTCAACGGCAACGTAACTGACGTCGACGACAGCGTCGACCGCCGAATTGCCGATGCCCACCACGGCGACCCGGTGATTCCTGAAGCTGTCGGCGTTCTTCAGACTGTGCGTGTGCACGACTCGGCCGCGGAACTTCTCCTGGCCCTTGAAGTGCGGCACGTTCGGATACACGTGATGACCGACGCACACGGCCACGGCGTCGAACGTCTCCGTGCGGTCGGTGTTGGTCTCCAGGTCCCTGACGAGCACGTCCCAGCGACCCGTCTTCTCGTAATCGGCGGCTGCCGTCGCCTGCACCACGTCGTGCTTAGTCTTCACGTGGTTGGTGACGCCGAAGTGGTCAGCGTAGCTGCGGAAGTAGCCCAGCATCTTGGTGTTGTGCATGTAGTTGGGGAGGTCCTTGGGCGGTGGGAAGTCACTGCGAAGAATATGCGTGTATACACGTTTACATTGGTATAGACCGTTAACTGCACGGCGGAACAGTCGCGTAAGAAGGTTAACTATTGTTCTGTTTATATGTTGATTTATTATCTGGTTAGTATGGTTATCTATTTATCTGATCCGGCCATAACGTTTTATAAGACAATTCATTCCAACACTCAGTCTCGAAGAGAGCATTTATGATGATGACACGCCCAAGCTTACCGGCGCACCCAAGGTTCAAAGGTTGAAGCTTGGGAGCGTCGGTGAGGTTTCCTTTAAAAGCCGTCAAATGGCATAGGCGCAGTCGCAGAGCGCTTTTTGGCTTGGCCCGTCTCTTTCCGGTCATCCTCCCCATGGTTCCCAGACAAGTTGCTGAGTGTAAAAACGTAAGCGTATGAAATATGGGTAGATTAATTAGTCACCATGCACTGTGGCTTACCTAAATGCGCTCATCTCTTTGCTAGTGTTGATGATGGTGGTTCGCATCACAGACGCTTGTCCCTCGACATCATCTTCGTGGTACGCCCAGAGGCCTCCTGTGTCCGCGGACCGCTCGTAGAGTACCACGTCGAAGCCGTAGTCGAGCATCTGGCGCGCGCACGTCAGGCCGCTCGAGCCGGCGCCCACAACGCACACTTTCTTCTTGGACATGGTACGATGTGGTGTCGCTGCCCTGCTGTGTCTGTGTAGCGCCT